GCATAGCCGCTCTTTAGTGTAGATGCATGTTGATTTTATCAGACGATGCCGCGATTATAAATGAGAGTGACTCCTGGTTAACATGTATTAAAAGGGGTCGTGTTTAGTCACTATTTAGTGTGGTATTTTTTGACAATATTCACTCATCATGACAGTAAAATAGGGCATTCTAAGTCAATATACTGCAGTATTTCCTCTCTCAATCAGTAGAAAATATGGTTAACACCCAGTCATGCATGAAAAAAAATAAATACCGCCATGTACCGTGAAACCGGTATAATTTTGAAAAATACCGTGATATACATTTTTGGTCATACCGCCCAGCACTAACCACGACATGTCTTGAAACAGTTAATTTTATGCTTTTAAAAGCAAGTAATACTGAGAAAAACAGGGTCACTTGAGATTCAGGGTTTTCATGAAAATTTTTTATGCCAACAAAATGTTAACATTCAGTGAACGAACATAATAATCCACATAAACTGACTAAATATGGTACTATGTGTTGTCTTTCCCTTGGCAGTTGTTTGATTTGTCTCAAGACACACAAGAACAATGTTTCTTGGATCTGCTGTAACTAATATCTTGAGGCAATAATAAAACTAAACTGCACTGCAGTCTTAATCATGAATAGAACTACTGCACATGATGCAGTAATAACTCAATAATTTATAACACTGACTGAACCCTTATTATGTCAGAATGAAAATCATGAGCATAGGCCTAGCAATTTTATATAAAGCATTAAACCAAAAATACTTCCAACAGGCACAAACCAACACATAACATACTTTTGACGGTCACTGAAAATAGACTACGGGCTAACGGGAAAATAGACTTCCTATAAATAAAGGAAGTATAAGTAACCATGTGCTACCTTACAACATGGCAACACATAGTATGTTAGCTCATGTTCACATCTAGAGTAGACACTGTGAATTCCAGAGTTCTGGAATGTGGTGTACGTACCAGGTGACCATGCAGCCACTCCACCAGACTGTCTGCAGTAGAGTCTGGGATCTGACAACGCAAGCTCTCTCTTTCCTCAGTGTCCATGAGCTCCAGAATGCCCCTGAGGTCCTCCAGTAAGTTGAGGGCTCGCAAGCTGCCCATGAAGGGCGATGTTGGGGACTGACAATCAAAGATGCCATTGGAGTAGTCCAGAGCTTTGGAGCCTGAGTTCCAAAGACAAAGATAAATAAAAGCAGTGATATTGATAGTTGATCATGTTTTATTCAGACAATATTATGCGCAAGAAAATGTGTAGAGCTATACATTAAATGCTCATGAGTCAAACAATACAAGAATAAGAAAATCTTTTACAATAGTTCACATTTAGCACAATGCATGGCATTTCTGAATTGAGTAATCATTATAAAAAACACAATTATCATGTAGTGTGGAATAAAAGATAGTATGACCTTATAATAAAGCATGCTGTGGGCGAGGTTCTAAAGTCAGAACCAGGGCAGAGTAAATGCTTTAATTGCTAAAACCTCAGGAAATCATGTGATCTGACAGGCGACTCCAACTTGAAATGTCAGCTTTGTAATAATAAGCCAGTGATAAATTACTTCATATGCCAGACCATTTGGTCAGCGTGATAATATCGGTCCAATCTTACTCTACGTAAACCATAGTAGGTTTCATGAAATGAGTCTGTGACATTTTCTTTGTAGAACTGCAGAACATTTCCAATGTGGACAGAATGAACATATTTACCAATGTGAAGTGAATTATTTTGTCAGGTTTAAATGTGGAGGAACCGTTGGATTTGGAATAGAGGTTTTAATTCACTTTTGGTATGGTTAACAGAAATGTTGAATAGGCTACATGAGTCATAGGTAACAATTTTACCTGCTATAATACCATCCATTTGCTCCAAGGCTGCTGCCAACATGTCACTGGCATCAGACATCATCTTGTTCAGCTCTGTTAATCCTGAATAAAGAGGAACTAACAAAATAAATATTAGAGTAAACAGCACAAAATGCATTTTGGCAATCTCTAAACACATTAATAGAAACATTTTGAAGGCTTAGGCACTGAATAAGTCAAAACTACAAAACTGAATGAAGAAATAGATGCCATTGTGCTTTGTGTTTGATACATGACTAATGTAATTCAGGAAAGTATTACACAGTCACCAAAACTTTGGGTAGAATTTAACAGAATTTAGAGCCGGATCAGAATAACATTTACAGAGGCCGAATATGCAGTCTACTGTTATTTTACTATTATTTATATACTATTATAGTATTTATTATATACAAATTGAATTTGTTTTTATTTTTATATTTTCAGTTTTCATTTTAATTTCAGTTTAAGTTTACTGTTGTTATGTGCTTTTGTCATTTATATTCTTTCCACTCATTTCTATTTAGCTTTATTTTAATTTCAGTTTTAAGTTATTTTCATTTTTCATTTTAGTACTTCAACCTAAACTTATTTTAGTTATCTGCCATGGCAGCTTTTCTAATTTTCAGTCATTTTGTTTAATTTCATTCAAGTTAATGATAGCAACACTGATGTGAGCACAAAAACTACAATGCATGAAAGTATATTTCTCAACCCTTCCCATTCATCTTCATATCTAACTGCGCATTCATCTGGACGGGGTCTCCCTGTGATAGTTCCAGAGAGCAGAGCACATCCTTTGGGTGATAGGTTGGCTGGTTCTCAGCTCTCTGCTGTTCCCTGGGTAACACAGTCAAACTCCAACAATTAACCACAGATTTTAAAGAATAACTGAGCCATTTATTTCAATTATTGGCACAGTGCTTGTGCTGCTGCTGGGGACACTGGGTACTTTGTCGGGGGACTAGCAGGGACACATTGTTAGACCCTTTTGGCTCGTGGCCCGAGAACACAGCGGTGGCATTCTCTCAGTTTTAATCCTCAAAACAAGGAGGTGAAGAGACACCCCGTCATGTTCTGATATCCCATCCACCAGTGTTAATACATTTCTCTGCCATAACACACAAACGCGACAGGCCAAAGGTTAATTTACAGATCTGAAAGAAGGGAAAGTGTGCTATGCTAAGTGGGAGTTCAGTTTTTCTGCTTAGAAATGGCTTGTTGTGATCCAAGTAAGAGGAGCTACTCAACCATTTGAAGTCATTCAAAGAAATATGTGAAGCATAAAAATCACAAAGCACCACTCTGAAATTATGTGTCGAGGTAAAGGACAATCCTAAAGTCTGTATACAGTGAATTAGCAGTTAATAATCCTTTAAAACGGGTAAACACAAATTTTGTGTATAGACATACACAGGGATTATCAGAGCAACTTAGTTTGACAGCAAGCCATTTTAAGGGTCTTCTAATGATGTTAGGTCTTATCTTCTAACTAGCAGCATTTACATTGGCCATGGTCTTACAGCAGCAAACCTGTTGTCATAGTGCTAAATATGGTCAGAGGTGGGTAGTATCAAACTACTTTTACTTGAGTACATTTTTGGAAGATATGCACTTTAGATTTAAAGTAGATTAAGTAGATTTAAAGGTGGGTACTTTTAACTCAAGTACATTTCTAACGGGGGGAAAAAAAATTACTTTTACTTCGTTACATTGGGTGAGTTTCCTCTTGTAACTTAATTTTTTATTTTGTTTTACAATATATGTTAAGAAATGTGTAGTTTATTCAAAGTGCACCGTCTCTTTTTTTATGGGGCATTAGCGATGACCCATTCACAAATTAAAGGTGCTGTATGAAGGATTGACACCGAGTGGTTGAACTAGGTATTGCAGTCCAAATTAAAAATATTGGAGAGGGTTTTTTTTCACCCGGCCCCTCCTCCTCAGACTTGACGCACACGCAGGTTGCCAGATTGACGACACCAACAGGAACGAGTACACTTGACGATGAATTAAATGAAATACGCAGTGTTTTCCGCCAACTGGCAACCCGGGGTGCCGAAATACAATTGGGTAAACTGGCAGTGGGCGGGTTTCACAAACTAAAACAGAGACCGACATTCCGGCCCGGAACGCACATTTTCAAAGGAGAATAACTGACTGTAGCATTGTTTTTCAGATAAACTAGTGTTAACTTAGCATGTTTCTTAAATATCTACAAACATATTATGGTATTTTTATGCTTTAGTAGAGTCAAAAACTTACATACAGCACCTTTAATTACTCTTGAGTCAATTCACTTCAAAGACTTGTTCAAACAAGTTGGGAAAATGGTCTGAATAGGTTCGTGAATCAGTTTGAATTATTTCTTCAGTTCCTTGAACGCACTGAATCATCTGAAGCAGTTTCTCACTCATAATGGCTAAATGTTGTTTATGTTCAGATGTTCAGTAACGGTCATGTTCCCTTTAGATGCATTCGAGCACAAAACTCTGCAGGTTTACTTTTTGATATTGTCTAATTATCCAAATGTAGCTGTGTATATTATTATACAAAGCAAATGACATGAAATGATATTGGGGCTACAGATGAAATGCCAGGAACAATGATGGTCTCTTCTGTGTTTGTTGCAAAAACAATCTAATTATGACTTTAATATATTCATTTAAATAATCTATTATTAAATAATAACATGTTATTGTATTATATAAGTATATGTATGTATATATATATATATATATATATATATATATACAGACACACAGTACTTCAATCTGTAACTGAAATGTCACTGTCACTTTAGATCAATTTAATGTGTCATTCCTGAATGAAATATTAATTCAAAATATTCAAAATTCAAAGGGAGTATCCTGACAGTTTAGCACAAAAAAAAAAATTAAAGTTTGTTATCCTGTCACTATGGTTACAGACATTACACAAGGCCACTGAAAGTTATAAAAGGGGACTGACTCCAAATACATGTATGCACAGGCTGATTTGAGTCACATCTGTTAGTAAACAAGCTTGTAAATCTCAAACACTGACGGTGTGAATGTAGCCATTCTGTTAGAAGAAAAGTGGATCAAACACTTTCCTCTGAAGAGTTTTCAAAAAATGATAAGAAATCAAGGTCAGATTAAACTGATGTGCTTCACTAGTGTGGAAAGTTTAGTTTTTTAAAATAACAATTCTCCGATCCAGAACTATTATGGAACGTTTCAATCTGGTACCTGAACTATGTAAAAAAAAAAATAAAAAATAAAAACCTTGTGTGGAGACTCCTGTTATGTCTAGAAAAGCTGTGCTATACAAACATCACATCGGTCACATGTTCACACAGCACGATATGGGGCATTTTTTTCTGCACATTTCTAAACAGTTCTGTTGATCTACATTATATTATCACTATTTAGAGCAAACAAAGCAGCAAACAAGAACTCATTGGAGTTTCTCTCTCTGTCTGGAAAACCTTTTATTATGAGCTAACAACCATGCAGCGTAGACTCAAGCTAAGCTCAGGATGCTTTGCATTGCAGATTTTTGCATGGCTGGAATTTCCTCTCATGGCAGGAACATGGTGACTTCCAGCCTGTGAAAAGCGATAACACGTTCTTTATGAAGTTCATATTTCCTCTCGGAGTCGTGTGAAGTCAAACAGAGAAGTCAAGACTCTGGGTTCAGACCTATCAACATCAAAACAGTTTATGTACATGCCAAAACATCATGCTGTCAAACAGCAAAAAGGTATTTTTCTAAAACCACAAAGGCAAATCTTGAAGTATGTGTTTCAACAATCCCTGGAGCAGATCTTACGAGAAAACATGCCAATAATGACATTAAGTGGGAAGAAACTGAATGTGAGACATGAAGCCTGTCCTTTGTTTGGAAACATTTTCCTGGACTCACAGAACACAAGCCTGTAGGAGCAATTGTCAAAAGGAATCAGTCGACTTTGAACGTAAATAAATATTACTATTTGTACTGTTCCCTGAAAAGGGCTCAAGATGGCATAAAATAAATGGTTATGAATATGAGCATGAGAATGAGAATAAGGGCAAAAAACCCTAATGGCCTCCCAAATCCATCAGTCGGGCACTTGAGGGCATCGTGTGTATGAACTTTATCCACTCCACACTCTGTGTGAGTCGTATTAGCTACTATCCCTCTCTGAAACGCTCTGACTGACTGACAGAAAAACCTCTGCTGGCACATGCTGGGGGAAAATAGCAGTCTTCGGGTCATTCATCTCAACAGAAATAAAAGCATTTATGGCAGGCGAGCCGTATAAGCCAGCAAATTTGCCTCAAGTCAAGCTAAAGCAAGCATAGAAGCCTGCCAAAAATGGGAAAGACATTTTTAATGGACCTGTAAGCACATGTTCATCTGATAAATGAATATGTACGCCAAGCTTTCTAGTAAATGCTGATAGTAATATTTGCATTATCAAATTCGCTGACGACACAACGGTGATAGGCCTGATCACCGACAACGATGAGACGGCCTACAGAGAGGAGGTGAGCACCCTGACTAAATGGTGTCAGGAGAATCATCTCTCACTCAACATCGACAAGACCAAGGAGCTGGTGGTGGATTTCAGGAGACAGAGCAGAGAACACACGCCCATCACCGTCGACAAGACACCTGTGGAGCGGGTAAACAGCTTTAAGTTCCTCGGCGTTCACATCAGTGAGGATCTCACATGGTCTACACACACTAATGCAGTGCTGAAGAAGGCACATCAACGCCTTTTCTTCCTGAGAAGGCTGAGGAAGTTTGGCATGAGCCCCAGCATCCTCAGAACATTCTACACCTGCACTGTGGAGAGCATCCTGACTGGCTGCATCACTGCCTGGTTTGGAAACAGCACTGCGGGCAACCGCAAAGCTCTGCAAAGGGTCGTGCGAACTGCCCGCCACATTGTTGGAGGTGAGCTTCCCTCCCTCCAGGACATCTACACCAGGCGGTGTATAAGGAAAGCCCGGAGGATCATCAGTGACTCGAGCCACCCGTCCCACAGACTGCTCTCCCTGCTGCCCTCAGGAAGACGTCTCCGCAGCATCCGATCCCGCACTAGCCGACTGAGGGATAGCTTTTTCCCTCAGGCTATCAGACTAATGAACAATCAGAACTAATACACCCTACAGCCTACTCCCACAATACGGTAGGCCACACACTGCACTTTAACTCCAACAGTTCAATACTGGACTATACATACACACTGCATTTAAACACAATAATCTATCTGCTACCACTGGATACCATCCAATGCACATCCATGACATTTTGCGTATCCAGTTAATGTATAATCTGTTGCACCTTCGCATATTTTGTGTATATATGTCTACATAATGTAGAATGTGTACATACTGTGTATAAATGTGTATCGCTAACTGCATGTACATACTGTGTATAATGTGTAGTGCTAACTGTAAGTATGTCTAATAGTACACTGTGTGTACTGACTATATGTATGTGCATATTGCACATTGTCATCTGTTGAGGTCTGTATGTTTATATGTAAATTGTTTCTGCACTGTCTGGAGCACGCTCCCAAGAATTTCACTCACCAAGGCACGTGTGCTGTGGTGATGTGACAATAAAAGTGACTTTGACTTTGACTTTGACTTTATTAAGAATGAAGTCTTAAAAATCTTCATCAATACTGAAAAAACAATGGGTATTAACCAATAAATGGCCAAAACTAAAATTCTATATTATTTTTGCTAAATTAATTAAAAAGCAAAACACTACAAATTAAAAACATCTGTTGTGCATGTCAACATGTCATGCACAATTAAATATTCAACATTGATAATGTAAAAAAATGTCCAGGATTGGCAAAAACCGCAAGATGTAAACGGGCCAGCCGGGGCTACAGCTTACAACTACGACCTTCGAGGCCACAATCAAACAGCACAAACTGGTATTTATGATTATTTCACATAGAAGAAGGACACACGTATTGAATCGCGTCTGCACCGATTGGATTGTTATCACATGGCTACTTTAAACAGCTCCATTATGCCTTTAGCCCCAAAGATCGCACATTTAGAAAGATAATGATAAATTCTCAGATGTTCACACCTCATTTCTTTACAGAGGATGATTCTATATTACTATATTAATGTTCCACTAAATTATGCGATCATCTGAGTTTTGAGCGCTCTCTCTCGTCTTACTGCCATTACACATAGTGGGGAAGAAATGTCATCAAAATGATTTTAAATAAAAAATAGCAATTTAATGAGTTTCTGTTTTTATAACATAGCTATGCCTATGATATAGGACTTAGCCTATCACACAAACAAGAGTCCTGTTTTTTTCTCAAATATCTGCACGATCGCTAATGTACAATAAACAACAACTTACAGATAGCTATGCCTATGATATAGGACTTAGTCTATCACACAAACAATAGTCCTGTTTTTGTTTTTGTTTTTTCGAATATCTGCACGATCGCAAATGTACAATAAACAACAACTTACAGAGTAACTTTCAGACGCAAAATTCCGTTTTGCTCCGTCAGCTACAGCTAACTACAGTCCTTTGCAAAGTTAAATGAATCAGCTTTTTAAACGAATCGGCTGATTCAACTCACTCATTAAGACGGCGGTTGTAGTTTCATATTTTAAAAAGTAGCTTATTTCGTTTTTGGCAATCATTTAATATCTCTACATTAAAATGTTATATTTAAACTTAACATTTATGCACAATCCATCTATGAATTTTGTTGATAGTGATTTCATTTGATTGTTAATAGCCAGCATATCTTTTTTTTTCGATTGAATTTATTGATTAAATAAGAACCTGACATAAGAGGACACAGATATGACAATAACTTTTATAATACTAATAAGCCAATATTTTTTTTGCTCAAAGTTATTTCAGAGTTTTGATCTCTTAACTGAGAGAACACATCCTGTTTATTATATTATAATGAATATTTAATATTACATTTAAACTTTGACTATAGCCTAGACATGCTGCATATTAATTGTACTATTTATGAACCTCAAAGCATATGTTTGTGTATTTTGTGTTACTCCATAATGATGTTATATTTGAGGGCATTTGTAGAGTAGGTATACCGTATAGGGCCCAAACATAACCTCAAGCCCAGGGGCCCCCGCCCCCCTAAGTCCAGCCCTGGACACCCATCTGACACTGATCTGAAATTTCCTGTCAATATACCAAGCCAAGGCGTCGTCGTAGAATATGATGCATCATACTTAACATAACCACATAGAAGGGATGCCTGCCTGTATTCAGGGGCGTTTCATATGCTATCTATAGCTAACTGTAAAAATAAAATAAAAAATCCACACCGCTTAGGTAAATGCACAGATGTGTTCGCAAATATCATAGTGGATGAAGGAAAAATGTGTGTTTCTTTTAGCCCTTTGAGATAGTAACAGAGTTTGTTGTTACACAACAAATAAAGATGGCTGATGTAACCTGCAGGCTTACTTTGGGCTGCAAACACAAGAATCAAACAGCAAATATGTTCTTTTCAGCTAATTTGAACTATTACAAAAGACCTAACAATTCATGAAGCATCAAACATGTAATAAATGACAAACAAAAATATCAAAACATTGTATTGGCCAAAAAAATTACTACCTAAATATTTAACTATTGATATTATTTGGATTCACAAAAGTTGTTTGAAAAAAACATACAAACCACACAATTGTCTATTTGTTATTGACTTGATTCAAAACCATATAGTTACTGATATAGCCTTTTTAACAACTTCCAGTGTGACAACTTGCCCCGGTCTCCCTATGCCCATCCAAAAACGTACATGATGCTGCACACTACAAACTATGAAAAGTTCGTTTAAAAAGAGGAAGTCACTCCAAACATATTTCTATATGAAATAGAAAAGTAACTGTACAGCTGAAAAGTAACAATTACGTTCTGTAAACTTTGTATCAGTCCAGATCACAGATGAGGATGCGGTTAAGGAAACTCGTGTAACAGCAGCTCTTGTTTTTCTGTGACTACGTGGAATGTGTGAATCACTTCATCACAACCACAGCGGTGCCTTAAATACCTAGTTCTGCGCTTCAAATCACACCTTATTTTTTATTTTTATTTTTAAAGAGTTTAAAATATACCTTGTGTTTTGTCTTAAATATAGCACAATCACTACAAACATCATTTTGTCGATGCGGGTTTCTGAGTATTACCTCATACACGTACATAAATGCTGTCTGTAATCAATCCCTTAGGCAATGAAAAAAATATAACTTATTTGTGAAGTGATGAGAATATAATATAGCCTACTATCATAACTACGGACAAAACTAACTTTTTTTTTTTACATTTGTGTCATCTACTTTAAACAAAAAAAATATGTGTGCACAATTACAAGCAAGTTTCCCCACTCAGGCAAGTTTAGGAAGCCAAGTAAATTCACAAAGCACAAATATTTATCAGTTATTCTGACAAGAAGTATGCTACGATTTCTTACCGCATCTGGACCGCCGTCTAAAAGTGTGAAATATAAATCCGTGGACGCTTTTCCTTGTCTTTTAATGTCTTCACGAGATTTGCTCTTTCCGTAGTTGGTGTTCCCACCTCGCCAGCGCCATGTCGACAATTAAAGTGGGAATGTTGGACGTCACAGGCAGGGAATATCCTACTACGGCGAAGGACTGCTGCTTAATATTCATAAGCCCTGTCTTCACCATTGGATGGTCACGGAGCAATCTAATTAATATTCAAACATCGTTTTTCGCCATAGGAAGGGTACCAAATTGCGTCACCGCTATTAATTAATATTCACAAGATGAGCCATCGCCATAGTAGCATTAGTAACGCATAAACGAACTTTGTGTTTGCGTAATTTGGTCGTATTTGTACTTCACTCATAAATATGGTGAAACATGTCAGAAAAACAAAACAAAACTTTTGAGCACTTTGGAAGTGTTCGTTATAAATCAGCCACATTGTGTTGATATGCAGATATTTGTGTGAGGGTTAGTTAGGTTTAGATAAACGTATAAAAACAATTACCCAGATTAATGTATTAAAACCATAGACTGTATAAAACAGATGAAATTTTTTTTGTCTCACTAATGTAGTCAAACCAACAAGTGTGTGCTGCATGCAGTAAAGTAGAATATTGAATTTCTGTTCAGATTTCTTTATTATCCTGCCATTTTCACCAAAGCTATATCTTTATGTCATAAGCGTTCCTCTGAAGCCAGTTGCTCAGCTGTCAGTAAACAGCTGCTGGAATAAGGCATGCAAATACCAACTGCAATTTGACAAGACCAAAAGTTTTCAGATTCTCATGAGAAATGCAGAGGAATGCTGCAGAACACAATTGTACAATTGTTCATTGTAGTATACAGACAGTAGGGAACTGAAACTGAGATATCAAGCCAGAATACATTTTTTTTCTGTACATAATATGTAGTTTAATATGTTAAAAAAAGATTGTATGTAAATGTATTTTACTCCAAATGAAAGCTATAACATGACACAAAAATCTGACCCATTATTTCAGTAGGCCTATTTTGTAATCAATGGGCTAATCAAACTCAAAAGAATATTGATTATCCAAATACATTACACAACTTAAGGAGGTGAGACTAATATTTAATTAATAATTGTTTTTTCAGTAAATGTTCTGTAACTCTTGTGCTTGGCAGTGAAGTATAACAACCTGAAAACAGCCTTTTAAGAACCTAATAAAACCATTATTTACGGTAGCTATTTAGATGTACTTTGTAAATTCACGAGGTCTATATGAAAAGATACATAATCTGATAAATAAAAAGATAAATGATTTGAGGTGTTCTGAAATTATTTCAAAAAATCAATTAACCAGTATAAATATACATGTAATATGCATCTAACATCAGAAGTAGAATTAATTTGAGTGTCGTCAATTGTATCAATTTATAGGTCTATATTACAACAATAGTTCACCCAAAAATAAAAATGAGCTGAAAATGTATTCACCCTCATCATCCAAGATGTAGATGAGTTTGTTTCTTCATCAGAAAAGATTTGGAGAAACTTAGCATTACATCACTTGCTTACCAATGGATCCTCTGCAGTGAATGATGGATTTGTTTCTTACGAACACGCAGCTTTTTGCTGCACAAGATGTTAACTGATGGACTGGAGTCATGTGGATTACTTGTGGATTATTGTTTGTGATGTTGTTTGGATTCTCTCATTCTGACAGCACCCATTCACTTCAGAGGATCCATTGGTGAGCAGGTAATGTAAAGCGAAATTTCTCTATGTCCTTGAAGGCCTGAGGGTGAACACATTTTCATTTTTGTGGTGAACTATTCCTTTAATTCAAAATAATTATACTGACTAATGCATGAACTTCATCTTGAAAGTGAAAGTGACGTGACATGTGGGACATGACATGTGGCCAAGTATGGTGACCCATACTTGGAATTAGTGCTCTGCATTTAACCCATCCGAAGTGCACACACACAGCAGTGAACACACACACACCGTGAACACACACCCGGAGCAGTGGGCAGCCATTTTTGCTGCGGCGCCCGGGGAGCAGTTGGGGGTTCGGTGCCTTGCTCAAGGGCACCTCAGTCGTGGTATTGAAGGTGGGAGAGAGTGCTGTACATTCACTCCCCCCACCCACAATCCCTGCTGGTACGAGACTCGAACCCACAACCTTTGGGTTACGAGTCCGACTCTCTAACCATTAGGCCACGACTTCCCCCATGTATCTTCAAGGCATACATAACAGCCCCATCACAATCAATGCTGTAACAGCCATGACCTCTTTTATGCTAAATGTAAATAGACAGTTTTATAGTACTGCATGGCCTTTGAGAGACCTCTCCATCTTCACTGTGTTTGGATCACACTCCAACATCTCTCTGATCCATTCGTCATTCAGCGCGCCTTCAATGAATTCCTCTTGACTGATCATGGCTATAGAGACGGAAAGAAAAAGAATGACATAAGGAGACTGTACTTCTGTAAACTGCCATTTTCTAGTGCAGTTTAGTAATTCAAGAGTGGTTGAAATAACTTTGGCACTTTAGATAGCAATGTAGCTTGTATTTATAGCATGTAGCTTACCATTGTTATCTCTGTCCAGCCGTACAAATATCCTATTGGTGCATTCTTCAGCAGTCAGTGGATCAGGTTTGTCAGTGATGCTGCAATGCTCATCTTGTACACAGCCTGAGTGAGAACAGGCATGAGAGAATATTAATTTGTGATTATATATCGCCCTCTAGTGGAGCAATCTAGAATCACGTAAACAAACTGCATTAGAATTCCAGAGTAAAATGCTACAATCAGTTTAGAAAAGCAAGTAATAGAGTTCTTCAACTATAGTCACTTACCTGCATGATTTCAAGCATCTCTGAGCGTGTGATGGCTCCATCTTTGTCTTTATCATAGCGTTTGAAGGACCAGCGCAGCTTCTCAATCAACATGCTGATAGCTGTCACATATTCTCTGAAGTCCACAACTCCATCCTGTTCAATGGCATTCATATCACACTTTTTATATCACATCACCAATCCTGATTTTGTCTTGATTTGGATCCAGTGTTGTTTTAGTATCAATTAGACACTATTATAGTTTTTATTCAAATTTAATTATACATACATACATACATATATATACATATACATACACATACACATACATATATATACATATACATATATATATACATACATACATACATATATATATACATATACACATATATACATATACATATATATACATATACATACATATATGTTCAAACTTATAAACAGCTGTAAATAAGAGTGACGATGAGTGTGAAGGTTGGAACTTTAAAACATTTAAATTCACTGATCATAATTTACATGATTTTGAACAAGATATTGACCCTGAAAATACTTTTCTTAACAATATAAATAACAACTGTTGTTATTACTCTGAAGATCAATTTAATATGAACGTAAAATTTGTGCATGGAATGTCAATTATTCATTTTAATAGCAGAAGCTTATATGCAAATTTTCACAATATTAAAGAATACTTAAGTCGTCTAAACAAACCATTCCAGGTGATAGCCATATCTGAGACCTGGCTTAGTAATGAGAAGGGAGTGGATTGTGAGTTGAATGGATATGAACTGAATTACATTAATAGAGAGAATAAAAAAGGAGGTGGAGTGGCCTTGTATGTGGACAGGAGATTAAATTATACAATTTTGAAAAATATGACTAATATTGATGATGCGATGGAGATTATAACGGTAGAAATTATTCTGGAAAAAAATAAAAATGTAATTATAAGTTGTGTATATAGAGCTCCTGGTTCCAATATTGAAATATTTAAGAATACTATGGAAAGGTTATTTGCTAAGAAATATCATAAAGATGTGTTTATATGTGGGGATTTTAATTTAGATCTCTTAAATCCCAACAACCATAAACTGATTGATGAGTTTATTGATTTAATGTTTAGTATGAGTTTTTTTCCACTAATAACTAAACCAAGCAGAATAACATCTCACTGTGCAACTCTAATAGATAATATATTCACAAACAGAATGGATAATAGTATAAAGAGTGGGTTATTACTTAATGATATAAGTGACCATTTACCAGTTTTTATAGTGTGTGCTTGTGATCATGTGAAGTTAAAAGATACTAATGTAATTAGTTACAGGAGAATTAGAACAGTGGAATCAATAAATAAATTAAGAAGTGAATTATTTAAACATAACTGGGAAAAATTGTATGAGGAAACTAATACTGATAAAGCATATGAAACATTCCTGATGATATTTAAAACTTTATATGATGAACAATGTCCTTTAAAACAATTTAAAAAAATAAAGAATAAATTTAATGAGAAACCATGGATGACAAAGGGCTTACAAAATGCTTGTAAAAAAAAGAATACCTTGTATAGAAAATTTATAAAGCACAGAACTATTGAAGCTGATAATAAGTATAAAAGATATAAAAAAATAAACTGACTAGTATTACGAGGATAAGTAAGAAAGAGTATTATAATAAAATATTAAATAATAGAAATGATATGAAGGGAATATGGAATGTGTTAAATAATATTATCAGGAATGGATCAAGGAGTATAGAAAGTGATTTTCTTTTTTTTATTTCAGTTTTAATTGGAGTTATTTTAGTACATCAAGATAAACTAAATAAAAAGGAGAAAAATGTTGCCTTGGCAACTAGCTGACACAAAAATAAGTTTAAGGTTTTTATATTTTATTTCTAGTAATGGATTTTTTTATGGTGTTAGTTCATTTAACTATAATAACCCTGTTTGGACTAATCTTAGGGATCAAAATCTCTAAAAATCATGTTTCAGCATAATAGTCAGATTTTAAGTAGATTAAATTGTATTTATTACAAAAAGAAAGTATGACAATGTACTTTTAAGCTACTGATATTGTTTAATTATTTTCTCATCTTAAACCACTGATAAATATTAATTGACGTTGAGGTTAGTGTAATGTCACAGCATTTGGAACATGTTTCCCACTGTTAGTATAGTGTCTTTTGTTATGCCTCCACCTTTTACAAGTCAGCATATGTTTTGTAAAGCCAGTGTTCTGTAACTGCAGGTTTAAAAC